AGTGGGAGCATGGGATTAGTGAAACATTATAGTTTACACAGACCACATGTTTGGACAGATCATATTATTGTTGGGTTATCCCATTATATGTGTATATGTATAGATATGCCCCCCATAATCTGAGATGGATTTTTTTTCAAGATTTGATAAACCCATATAATCAGAAGAATTGCGCGCTTCCATTTCGGGACCATATGCACGAGCGCCAAATTGCTGAACAAAGTTCGTACGTGGCACAACATATATCTAACATAGGATCTATACATGTGTGAGTATGATAAGCATCGTATGTTCTGCTTATAATTTAAAATATTGCAGATTGGATCCCAAGAATTGTATCGCTGATGTCGAATGTGGCACAGTATTGCGACAAAGCATTTTTTGGAGACCTCCGTTGATGTTTAGTGTGGCAATCGCGGAAGCATTCTGTTGAAGGTTCCGTGATATCGTACCCTTTGGCTGTCACGCTATAGGTCGTCGAAGCTCTGAGAGCGTAGCCCGATGCCGTATTCACTATTTGGTGGGTCGAAGCTGGCAGCATCACAACAGATTTGGTGCTGCTAAATTTTCACACCTATGTTTGATCCTAACAGAGTTCCATAGCCACCTATGTCTGTGCGCGTTGGTGATATAGGTATCCCGATCCTGGGTCAATGATGCAGATCGTTCTTAAGATACCCCTTCTAGACAAGTAGCTTACGTTTTTGGCTTGTGATGGTGCCAACTCGCTCATCGGATACGCAGCTTCAACGGAGTGGCTGAAAAGCCGAGACATTTCACATGGTTGGCAATGGAAAACCGCAACTCTTCAAGTAGAAATATATGGCAATATGGAATGATCATCTATGAGCCATGATATGCCAGAAAACCAGGTCAGTCATTACTGGAGCCTATTCGTTGCATAGATGTCGTTCACCCAATGTTAGGTTGATGCACAAAAGTTGATGCTCCTTATAGAAAAATAATGGCAGATGCTTGAACAAATCGACCTAGAACTCGTGTTTCCTGAGTGACATCAACTTTTTACATTCTAACTGATGGTTCCTTACTGTACTGGTATGGGGATATTCCTGATTCCTGGTTCTGGAGCATTTGTTGCACCTGTGTTTTCGTACATGGCCGACATGATTGATTCGTTCAGTCACATGTGGAAAACGATGATCAACTTATTGATTGAAGGGTTTACCTGTGGCAGGATCTGGGCGCTTGTCATTCTCTCAGTACTCAGAACCAATGATTTGACTTGACTTGCTTTCTTCCATACAAATGCAATTACATTGCGTCAATTGAATCAATTGAGTTCAGACTTGAAATTGAAACTAACAAGACGTGTTGCAGTCATGTCATTGCATTCTTCAATGTGAGGCCTGAACCAAGTTTCGAGCCTGCAGATGTTTTTGAAAGGCCCGGTTCTGCTCCAGTCTTAATTCTTTTCAACATAACATGTTGAAGCTTCTAACAGTGACACAGTGTCTGTTGTGGCATCGCCTGTTTAACTGGAAAGCTGATTGATTTCATTTGGTTCTTCATGCAGTGCTATTGCAGAGATTCTCTCAATTGTGTCAAGTATTGATGTCTCTTGGGTTTGAGTGACTGAGTTGTATGAGAAGCAGCTCAAGAACAGTAGAAACTTCAAAATGCAATTACACTAGGTAGAGGAACTCAAGCATTGAAGTTGGACAATTTAGCCAGACATCTACTCTAGAAAGCAAGTAAAAAAACTATAAAATCAAAGTCATCTACTTAATTGAATGAAATCGAAATCATCGACTTAATTGAACAAAATCAAATTCATCTACTAACTTAAATTCCAGCCAGCGATATTGCCTTGCCAATTGTCAATTGTGTCAAATTGCTTCAATTGCTTTCAATTGATCGAAGCCATGGCGAACAAGATTCCTCGTAGCTATGCGCCTGGTGACAACAAGGACTACGACAAGAAGAAGCCAGGCAACGAGGAGTCTGAGTCCCAGTACCCGTTGGTGGTGGCACAGCCGCAGAAGAAACATGTGGCCTATGTGTTCTACTACTACCATTCTGGGAGCAGACGTCGCTCGGAGTGGATGACCCTCTGCAAGGACACTATGCAGTGCAACTTCCGGAGTGTCTTGGTTTTGAACTGATTTGCCTTAAGTAAACAAACGTTGTTCTGAGTGTGCTGCAGTGCTTTCAAGTGACATCAATTGTTTCAATTGCCTCAAGTGTTTTAAGTTTTAAAACATTGTCTTTGAGCAGCTTGCTTTGCTGAGGCAGAACTCGTGGAGGAGCATTGCGCTGGAGTGGATTGCATGGCAAATGGAGCTGGGATGATGGCACTCTCCGGATTTGGGACTGGAACTGCCGGGGCGAGCATGCGCCCAAAGCGTGCCGCAAGGACACGGGCTTTGTCTTGGCTGCAGACAATGAGTTCCTTTGTGATCAGATATCCCCGTGCGGTCATGCGGTCCGGAGACGAATGTGGTACATTGGCGAATTCCACATCGAGGCTTGGAACATTGTCACTGTCAATTGTGTTATTGAATTTTTCATTGACAATAGATTTGCACTTGCATGAACCAAGCATGGTAAGGTCATGAACACAGTAGGTTAGTCAGCAATTGGTAGTGCTTCCAAGTCAGTTGGCTCATTTTGGACCATTGGACTTGCTGAACAGGTCCTCGAGGCGTTGGCTGCTGAAGCGGAGCTGGAGGATGTGACGGCGCTGTCAATTGCGTCATGGCAGCCATCGTCATTGTCAATTGCGTCAGGTGTGCTGGCTCTGGAGGATGGCACAGAAGTAGAGGATGGCGAGTGGATTCTCTTTTGAAATTTGATGAGTCTTGGCAGTCTTCAATCCCTGACCAGGTTTTGTGGTAATTAATTTGGTGAAATTCAAACTGCTGCCCTTCAGTTCACTTGGAATGTCATTCTTTAGTTTGTTTGGACCATTGGAATGCCTGTGGTGACCCCTGCTTCTCCCTGTCCAAACCCATCAATTAAACGAGTTCATGTGCTGCGCCCATGCCAAGGAAGGAAGCCATCCCAAAGTGCCTGCTGGCTTGGTTCCTGATATTAGAATTGCTGTGAGCTGTTTTTGGCAAGATTCCAGAAGTGGGTGTGTATGGTTCCTCTTACTCTTGATTATAAAAAGCAAAAAATGTTGTTGAAGCAATGGTGTGCTTTCAAAACGGAATTGAGGAACCATCATGATACCCATTATTCCAGAAGTGGGTGTGTATGGTTCCTCTTACTCTTGATGACAAAAAACAAAACATGTTGTTGGGGCAATGGTGTGCTTTCAAAACGGAATTGAGGAACCATCATGATTAGCTGAGATGGAAAGTTTGTCAATTGAAGCACAATTGCAGCTCAATTGCCTTTTCTTTTGAAATAGGAGTACCGTGCTTGAAAACATGAGCATTCAGTGGAAGACATGTCAAGGCTGAACTTCGAGATATATCTTTGTTGACATGCTAACAAAGTGTCAATTGCTTGTGATTCTAGTGTGCTACCATCCAAGTGGCCAGGCGTGGCCTTCGATTCAGGGTGGGGGCCCCAGGATTTCTTTGACAAGCACTTTGGCAAAGTCATTTTAATCTTGAAAAGTGATTTGGTCAATTGGGTCAATTGAGTCAATTGTTCAGTTCATTTTGTTCTACTCATCCAGGGCTTTATTTATTATTCAGCAGCTGTGCCAATGCATCAATCAAATTATGTGAAAGAATGGATGAATGAAAAGAATGTCAGAGGCAATAGGGCTCAAACTGCGTGATTTGTGTTGATTGACTGATTTGCTGTTTGTCTTAATTGTGTGATTTAATCCATCATGGCAGGTCCCGTGCGCGTAGAGATCCAGGGCGCAGGACGAGGGCAAGGCCATGGGGGAGGCACTGGGTTTTTTTGGCGATAACTTCTGATACCCATAATATGGTCACTGGTTGGTGGTTTCAAACATGGCTTTTATTTTCCAGAATATATTTTATTTCATTAATATATATATAAATATGTTATTTTATTATACAATAATATATATATATATTATACTATATATAATGTAATATAATATAATATAATACATACAATATAATATAATAGAGTAATATATATATATACGTATTATATACTATATATATAATTTATGTATATATAATATATATATATATACATACATATGGGATAGAATCCTTCCCATTGACTCATATTTTTCATGGTTAAAACCACCAGAGTCATTTCGTACAATGATGATACATCATGGGATTTTGGGGATAGCCATGGGCCATTGAGCTTGATGATTGAGCAATTGATCTATCAAAAACCGGTGATTTAGATGCATTTTCCAAGGGAAATTGGCCATTGATAGATGATTTATGCATGATTTACCTCTTAAGCAAAGGTGATCTTCATTGATTTTCCAGTTCGCAAACTGGTAACCTCCTGGAATTCACCATCAAACTTCACACGGTGATATCTTTATACAATTATCTTGGGGATTTCATGGGAAATAAACAACCAGATTCTGGAACTTGGATTCTGCAAAAAAATCTGGTTTGATATAATTAATATGGATGTGCGATGATATGAGTAAGCGACAAAATTAGGGGAAAACTAAAGTAGGGAGTGGACTTGGGATGTTCAAATTGTTGTGAAAACCTTCACAACCGATAGGGGACCACCCACTTTGTGACATTGGTGGCAGGCTCATGGATACACCCAGGCGAGGCATGTGTTGTTCAAGTGCCAGTCATTCAATTTGATTCATTGAATTGCATTGTACTTGAATTACGCGTGCTTGCGAATCATGACAATATTATGGCAGTTGCCCTGAAGCAACTAGTGCTCAAAGCATTAATTGGTGCCCCAGCCCATGATTTTGATTACAGTAATTCAATTGTGTCAATTGTGTCATTTGTATCAAAACAGATTTGAAAACAAGTCATGCTTCATGCAGAAAAACATGATATGTTATTTCAAGGGCAACCCAATGAACAACAACAAACACACAACAATTTTAGTTCAAACTTATGTCTTCGGGCTCGATTGCTTTGCAATACCTGCCGTCTGAGTGGCGCCCATCGGTGAGCAAGTGGCCAAGGAAAGCGCAACAGGTCGCTTGATCGCACATGAAACAAACGCAATTGAGCAGTTGGATCATTTATTATCTTATTTCAAGAGTGTCAGAAGATAAATCCCAACGTTGTTACTAGAATCTGGGAATAGTGCATTAGCAAACTGCTTGCTTGAGGCACTCTACTTCATCTACCTTGAGTGCCCAAGCAACGCCCAGGACTTGGTGCCTCTTGGATCAAAGAAGTGGGGATTAAGTTTGCTGATTTGGGCTTCTATGTTTCATTTGATGATGTTTAACGTGTGTTGTGGTGAGTTCTCTTCAATTGGGTCAATTGTCAGAGAAAGTGTGGGTCAATTCAATTCACTTGTTTGTTACTCAGGGATTTGGTGGAGAAGAAGAAGCCTACTGACATCCTCAAGTACGTTCTGTCGATTACGAGGCAAAAGGTGAAGGAGTAACTTACCTGCATTGCAGGATGTTCTGCTTTGATTGTTGCCAATGATGGCTTTCAGCTGGTTCATTACCAAGGTACCACCAGAACAAGGGCATCAAGTATGACAACGTCGGGTGGAACAAAATAAAGTGACCAAACCGCAGTTTCTTGGCTTATCAAAGAAGTTTGCTGAATCACATTGGCTGGTTTGGATCAAGTGTGTTAATTGTGTTAATTGTGTCAGCCATGTGAAGTGTTGAAGTGCTGGCAATTGTCTGCTTTGGATGTAGTGCAGTGATTGTGTCAATTGGGTGGGTCTGCTTTGGTATAATGATGTCAGGTTCCTATCATGCTTTGGAACACACAAGTGGTCCACTGGCCGGCACGAGTCGCAATCCTGGGGTATGGATCGGGCAATGCCAGACGTGGTTGGAAGGACAGAGCCTTGTGTCAAGATCATCATGGAAATTGACAATAATTTATGCACGTTTGCATAGTTCTCTAGCGGCTGTGTTTGATCTGTGTTTGATTTGATCAAGTTGCTTTGTGCATTTCATTGTTTGCAGGATCCACCACCTGAGGTGGTCAGGATTATCGAAAAGTTATGTGGTCACCTTCGTAATCCGATGAAGGAGGTGTGGGAGCACCGGCTTCCGTTGAAGCTTTCACGCCAGTGCCTTTGATGCATTAATTACGATCACAATCACAATGTTTGAATGCATTGATGATGATATCATCATTGTGGTTCGGGGTTGGATGCTCAGGAGCTTCGAGGAGCACGACAAGACCAAGCAGAAGATGAGCGGCCTGCACACGGAGGTGCAGGAGGAAGTGGCTTGGCATCAGAATGGCAAGCAGGTTGTCAATTGAGTCAATTGAGTCAAGCTGTCAAGTGGTAGTGGTGTTTGAATTAAATATTGTCAATTGAATCAATTGTTGTCAAATGGCATGCGCTGTCAATTGAGCCAGTTGTTATGGATCAATTGCTCCATGGGCCTTTGTCCATAGTCCTTGTAGCACTTCTCTTATTTAGGTCATCCGCCACAGCGAGTTCAAGTCGGTGGTCCTGGACATTTTGTCCCGGCCAGGGAACATCGTCCGGTTTCCTGTCTGCATTTGGCTAGTCTTGACCTATTATTCTTCTTGTGATGCTTGCAATTGTGTCATTTGAATGTGTTGGAGCAATTCACAGTTTTGATGTGAATTTCAGAAGAGCAATTTCCCTCAGTCAAAGCTTCAACGTTTACACATTCAGACTTGTCTTGCTGAGGCTGACTTGCAGTTGGGGCTGGCACCGGACACTTGGGACGGCCAGTGTCATCATCCGGATCTTGCAGATGGCAGGGTGCGAAGTGGTGCTCTACAGCGCAAAGCTGAGCATGAATCCGCAGCTGGATTCCTGTAACACCATTGCGTTTCTTCAGGGTTCGCCCAATGTGTGTCTTGCCTCAAATTGAGCTGAGCTGTTTGGATGCTTCACTTGGGGGGTTGTAGTGATAAACTTGTGGGATCGAAATGCGAAACAATTCAGTTCTCTTACGTTCACAATAAGTTCTGTCTTCAAACATTAATGGTTTTTAACCATCAACATTTGCCCCAATTAAATTGCCTCAATTGATTCTTGTAATGTTTTCAATTGATTCAATTGCCTCAATTGACTCATTCAACGACTTGTTGGTCGCTCAGTGTTGCTAAGGAACCTGCGAACCCTGACTCAGAACCTTTTCGACGACTTGACAGGTGTGGCCTGGACCGAGGATGACTTCGAGCATAGCCTGGACAGGGCCAGAAACCTGTGGAGGGAAGTTTGGCCAGAGGCTAGCATCAAATTTCTGCGTGGCAAATCCATACCGCCTGCTCCACCAGGTCCACCTCCACCCAAACCAATTGGGCCCATTGCCACAGCACCAATTGGGTCATTTCGGTCAATTGCGTCATCTTCTGCCAGTGGCAGCAAAGCCCCGGCTGCCAAGGCCATGCCTTCAAAACCTGACAGGCCAGCTCCCAAGCCACCAGGGAGGGAGGCAAAGAAGGAGGAGGTGAAGGAGGAGCAGCCACAGGAGGAGCTGAAGGAGGAGCAGCCCAACGTCAAGAAAGAGGAGGTCACTCCGCCCCCAGGTCTTGGGCTTGTGGATGAGCTCCAAGCCATGACCCCAGCGCAGAAGAAGGCCAGGATACAATTGTTTCAATTGACAAAGCCTTGTCGTGGCCATATTGGATGACATGTTGCATGGTTCCAGTTGAGTAATACCATTGGTATTTAATTAAATCATGTTGTTTCCCTTTGTCGCTGATAGGTGAAGCTCAGCCAGCCCTATGTGCGGGAGATGATCCAGAAGCAGATTACCTTCTTGCAGAGCTTGCTTGACAGTGATATTGAAGGTGGTGATGGATGGGAGGAGGTGTTGTGCTATGGCTGCAGTCCAGCTGTTGGAAGAGGAGTGAATTCATTATATAATATTATTTATGACATTTGCATCATGTCATTCATTTCATGTGGTGTCATGCCATGCCTGCCTGTGATTCTGACCGAGGACTGAGGTCCTGACCGACTACAATATCGACCAGGGTGTGCGGACCATGCTCTCCAATGCCAAGATCTCCCGGAGCCACAAGATCAAGCTTATGTGTCTGGTCTGCATGTTGAGATATTTGATTCACAGCTTGGACAACAGGTTTGGAATTGCGTCAAGGCAAACAATGGTTTGAATTGTGTGAATTGGTTTCTGAAGTTCAGCTTTGTTGTTTGGAATTGTGTGTTTGTCAATGCCAAGGATCAACATGTTGTTTCGCTGGGGGGACAAGTTCGAGTCAAATGACTGGTTGCGCAACGCAATTCGCAACTTGGCTTGACATGTCATGAGTGAGCTTTCATGATAGTTGAAAAAACATTGATGTCATATTCGATATCCAAAATAATATCTTCAACTTGTCAAGAAGCGCTTGTACTCCAGGTCAAGAAGAGCTTGATGCCTGTTCATCTTGGCGGTGAAATGCATAATTAATGTTCTGGGCCAATTGAGCTCAATCATTTTGTGGCATTTGTGTCATTTGTATCAATTGTGTCATGTTCTATTGCAAAAAGCAGTGAATGGTTTTGACAGACAAAGAAATCAAGGTTTGGTGTTTGTTTCCAGTCTATGAGCCCATGCTGTCGTGTTTTATTTAAGCAAGAATGAAGCAATGACGTTTTTGCGCAGATCATTGCAAGTGGATGGTCCCTGTGAACAGCCATGACCTAGTGCTCATAAAGACCACAGCCATGCAAAAAGGAAGCTAAAAAAGGTGAATGCTAATCCCAGTGCAAGGTGATCATGTTGCAGAAGCAGGGTGAAACACTGTCATGGCAGCGGATGCTTCATGTTTATGTTGTTCAAAGTTGTTTGTTAGGCAGATCATTGATGAAGCTTGGTGGGATGGGCTCAGTTAACATAGGATGCACAAAGTGTGTAGTTCTCAAATCATAGAATTATCTCAAGTGAGTCAATTGAGTCAATTGAGTCAATTTGTCATCCCAGAAAACTTCACTGCCAAGTTGTTTCAACTGATGCATTGCTTCATAGCCAGATTATGTGACATCCCCATGTGTGAGGCAGATCGAATGATTGGCCTTGGTGGCGTTCTTCGAACAGCAGGCATGGTCTTTGTCTCAAGCATCAATTTGCAGTACATGATTCAATTGTGTCAATTGGTCATTGTCAATCAATTGAGTTGCTTCAGCTGTTTCAGTTGGATTCAATATTCACCAATATACTCACACAATATACTTTCAGAATTTAAATTTAGATATGAATACATAATGTCAAGTGCATGGATGTAAATATTCAAAACTATGAATACTTGTATGAACTTCTCAAAATTGCTCAAAATTCTTCTAAAAATACTTATACCTGCCAAAAGAAAAAATCTGCTCAAAATTGCTCAAAATTGCTTAAAAGTACTTATACCTGCCCAAAAAATCTGCTCAAAATTGCTCCAAATTGCTCAAACTTATTTAAAAGGACTTATATCTGCCCAAAAAAAATTGCTAAAAAATGCTCAAAATGGTTCAAAATTGCTCAAAATTGTTTAAAAGTACTTATACCTGCCCACAAAAATCCGCTCAAAATTGCTCAAAATACCTGCCCACAAAATCTGCTCAAAATTGCTCAAAATACCTGCCCACAAAATCTGCTCAAAATTGCTCAAAATTGCTCAAAATACCTGCCCACAAAATCTGCTCAAAATTGCTCAAAATTGCTTAAAAAGTACTTATACCTACCCAAAAAATCTGCTCAAAATTGTTCAAAATTGCTTAAAAAATACTTATACCTGCCCAAAAAATCTGCTCAAAATTGTTCAAAATTGCTTAAAAAATACTTATACCTGCCCAAAAAATCTGCTCAAAATTGTTCAAAATTGCTTAAAAAATACTTATACCTGCCCAAAAAATCTGCTCAAAATTGCTCAAAAATGACATTTTGAGAAATTTTGAGGTGATTTTGAGACATTTTGAGACATTTTGAGACATATTGAGACATATTAGGTGATAGAATCAACACGATGCATGATAATAATGTAGTTAGATCAATAACGTTGTATGGTGTGCAAGTCATGATTAGGCGATCGAATCAAAACGATGCATGATAATAATGTAGTTAGATCAATAATGTTACAAACCATGCTGCAGCCTGTGAGTGAGTCAAGCAAGTGTAGCCATCACAATTGACACAATTGAGTCATTTGGATCATCATGCCAGCTGCCCCTGTGAATCGAGCTGCCAAGAGACAGCGCACTTTGCCCCAGATGATGGGACAAATGATGAATCCCATGATGATGAATCCCATGATGGGTGGAATGATGAATCCCATGATGGGAGGTGGCATGGCGCCTATGATGATGGGTGGCTGCAATGGAATGATGGGACCCATGAATGGAATGATGGGTGGAATGATGAACCCAGCAGCCATGCGTCGAATGATGGAAGATGTTGCGGCTGGGGAAGATGCTGAGGAAGAAGTCCATGATTATGATGATGTTGGTGCAGTCCAAGATGCTCCTCCTCCTCAGCCTGCTGCTGCTTCGGCCTCTGTGGTTGCGCAGCCTGTGGCTCCTGCTGTGCCTGTCCCTGCTCAGCCTGAGCACCAGCCGCCGCCTGTGCTCCCTTACAACAAGAGTGATGATGCTGCCATCACAAGGTCTGCAAGTATGATCAGAGGCCTGGGGTGGGACATGTATGTAACCGATGTTTTGTTGATATGATGATCCTATGTTATGTTGATATGATGATCCTATTTTTGTTTTAAGTTATGTTGATATGATGATCCTATGTTTGTTTTAAGTTTTGTTGATATGATGATCCTATGTTATGTTGATATGATGATCCTATTTTTGTTTTAAGTTATGTTGATATGATGATCCTATGTTTGTTTTAAGTTATGTTGGTATGATGATCTTATGTTATGTTGATATGATGATCATATTTTTGTTTTAAGTTATGTTGATATGATGATCCTATGTTTGATTGAATTTAAGTTATGTTGATGTGATGATCCTATGTTATGTTGATATGATGATCCTATTTTTGTTTTAAGTTATGTTGATATGATGATCATATGTTTGTTTTAGTTACCATGCTAGTGGGAAAATGGTAAAATGTTTGCAAGATAAAATTGTGCAATGTTCATTTCATGAATGGTCATATGGTCTGCTTCCTGTGGTTGTCAGGCATTCCCATGACAAGACTTTCCTATTCCATTGAGAAGTTGGTGCCAGCCCTGGATGCCGGCTACACCAGTGGCCTCACCCAGCGAGATCTTCTTCAGCTTCTCTGGATCATCACGAAGTTAAAGCCATCTCTCAAGATTTCGAATCTTCGTGATTTGGTGAGAATCAATCAGTGTTGTTGTTTTAGATTACGATTATTAATACTTTAGTTGTTGTTTGTGTAGTTCATTAGATTGTCCCTGTTTGGCCATGTTGTGTTGAGTTGTTGTGTCTTTGCAGCCACAGATAATGTCATCCAATGACAATGAAATGTTTATATACATTTATATATTAATAATGTAAAATATACAATGATAGAGATTCTTCAACATCAGTCAAAAGTTATTGTACCCATCTCACCATCAATCGCCCAGGTGTGACCTCGTATGAGGATCTTGGCAACAGGTTCAAGAAGGCCCATGACAGGATCAAGGATTCCTGCGAAGGGTTTCCTGACAACATCGTCCAGGAGCTTCCGTTGGTCTTGGGGGATGCCGAGGTCAATGATGTGGCTGTTGCTCAGGGATGGAAAGATGAGTTCCTGAAGCCTGTTTCTTGCGCAAAGGCTCCTCCGCCCAGTGTTGCTGAGGTTTTTGCAGGCAGGCGTCCGGCTGCAGCACCTGTGCCGGCGTTGCCTCACCCCCCTGCGCGCAATTCGTCAATTGCGTCAATTGCCCCAATTGCTGTGACAACAAGCAAAGCTGCTCCGCCAGCTCCAGCCAGCCCAGCTGCTGAGGCAGCTGCTCCGCCAGCTCCAGCCCGCCCAGCTGCTGAGGCAGCTGTGAGAGATGCCACTCCACCAGCTGAGCCTAGCCCAGATGGAGATGCCCAGGGAGCTGAGCCTAGCCCAGCTGTGGACCTGGCTGTCGAGCCTAGCCCAGCTGCTGAGGCAGCAGCTGTGACTGTGCCAGCTGCAGATGGAGATGGCCCACCCATTTGTCTGATTTGCCAGCAGGAGATGACCAATGGCGCGATGAAGACACTTGGGTGCGGCCACATATATCATCTTTCTTGTATGGAGAGCTGGTACACAGCAACATCCAACTTCGAAGAGCGTTGCCCTCTCCGTTGCCAGATCACGCCCCCGGCTGGTGATCGAGCTGTTCGAGGAGCGGATGACTTCGAGGTTGTGGACTTCGTGTGAGTCTGAGTGAGTGACTGGCAGATGATCCGATGGCTGAACTTGGCCCAATCTAGTTGGCAGATGGCTTGGTCAAGCCAGTGAGGAAACTTTAAGTTGCAGCAGAGTTGTTTATGAGTTGTCTATAGTATAATCTCAATTTTGTTTTTTTGAACCATTGGCTGGCCATCATCGAATTTTATAGTTTGTCTCATTTGGGGGGGATTCTCTCTGCAGTGGAGTCAGCTAAATGCCGGACCACTTTAGCTTTGACGCACTTCATTTGTGTCAATTGCCATCAATTGAGGTGTGTGAGTTGCAATTGTGGTTTGCCAGCAGCAAAGGCGTTGGTCTGAAGCTCCATTGGAAGAGATGATGGGGAAAATGCATTGTTATGCTATTGCTATTGCAAGCTGCTTTCATTGAATCGTTAAAAGCTTGTGCTGGAGCTCCTTTTTTTACTTGTTGTTTCTGTAGCTTACTTTTCTGCAGGCTTCGTTGTGGAGTGAGAAGGCTGGAACTTCGCTGACTTTCTGAATTCTTTACACTTGTGCAATGATGATGGTGAAGTTGAACAGTTGAACTGTCAAGACTGCCGGAAGTCATTCATTGCTGTTCGCACATTGGTGAGTTGGTATGTGCCTGCCAGATTTGGATCAATTGACTTCAATTGAAAAAAAACTATATATAATGAAACCAAACAATCTTCAGGCTTTGAACAAATGATGTTTGAATTGCAGTGCAGCAATGGTGCCAAACCATGGACAATCAGTAAGAGATCACAAACCTAAACCATGGCCAATCTGTAAGACATCATTTGAGTTTCAGGTAGTTCAATTTGAGTCAATTGTGTGAATTGTCTCATGGACTTCGATGATGGCGGCAGTGACAGTCAGGAAGGGCGTGAGGACTTTCAGTCCCGGACTACAGACTTGGAGCCCTTTGCTTGCGATCACCCATTGCTGAAGTTTGGCCAAGTTGGCTACAATGGACCTGCTGGCTTCATGTGGGACTTTGCCTATGTCTATGACAACCTTCATGCTTTGGGCGAAAAGAAGCAGAAGTACAAGATGTTAAAGGAGCTCCAGGAACAATGCTGTGAAGGGCAACACTTGTCCAGGGAAGATTTGCATGTGAAAAAGGAAAGAAGGCTAGCCAATTTGCCCAAAACAAAATTGTCCTTGATGAATCATGGTCGAACTATGTTAGACATGATTTGACATGAAGAGGTTGTTTCAAATATGTAATCAAGAGTAATCATCAGCATTTGTTGTGCAGGCGAGGGTGCTTGGCCGTTGATGCAGTGAGCACATTGCTTGTCTTGCACTTTTTGCTCGACTTGCTCAACAAATCAAGAACTGATGCCAAAGCGCTGACTATCAGAAACTATTTCAAAGATGTTGGCATGCTGGTCACCCAGGAAGCAAGTCGCCACAATGATGTGCTGAAGTTTTCAGTTGGTGACTTTCCTATGCATGTTCTGCCTACAGGGAAGTTGCAAGGCTTTCGTTTGTGGCTCGGAAGACATGTTCACAAAAAGGGGGTTCAATTATGGCTTACACTGTGGAAGTGGATGGCCAGGGAAGACAATGGGCCACTTCTGACAGAAGACATTTCCAGCAACGATGATGAGGAGCCTTCCTTGGTGGATTTACTCATGTTTTGTGTCAATTTTATACATTCCTACAAGGCGGCCCATTCGTTTCGACAGCCTCCCCCTTTCTCCACCGATAGCATGAGAAATCTGCAACAATGCGTTCTCAAGTTTGTGGCGTGGGTTGTCAACAATGTGGTGCTTGAGATGATGACCCAGCAGGACGATTCTCAGCCAGTGCCATCCAGACGCGTGAGAAGGCTAGGTGGTAGTCAAAATGCATTACTTTTTGTTTACTGTAAAATAGTTTTGTGCCTGTGTGAATTCTCGAAGGTGTGGAAATTAAAGGTTTGAACCTTGCCAAACAGGAACTCCGATGCAAATCTGCGGAAGATGAGTCCTCATGAGATCTGGCGTGTCATTGAGCAAAGCAAGGATACTGGGGTGTCATACCAAAAGATTTGTGCTCTGCGAAAAGATGACCCACAAGGAGGAATCAGTGAGCAGCTGACGTGGGTTTGGCAGAGAAAATTGTTGTCAATGTACAGGCAGTCATCAAGGCTAAGTTTCTTGAATGTGAAGAACTTCGCCATTGTCACGGATGCCTCAAGTCATAGCAACAAGGACTACCTGATGAGCCTGGCCTATGACCCTGTAAATGGAGTAGGGGCTCACATGTGCTCAGTTCACGTCAGGTCAACAAAAGTGTTACACCCACAGGAGATGGAGCTGACACCAGAAGCAGAGCGCTTGGCAGCGAGACGGGAAATTGAACGGCTTAGCAGCTTGAAGTTCTTGCAAGGCCTTTCGGCCCAGATATGCAAGTTGACTGACCTTCGCTTGGATGATTTTAAATTTCCTGAAGTCTTGCTCAAAATGTTGGAGCTGCAACCAGGCGATAACTTCTTCTTTGACGACAATGTCGCAGTGCTGAATGAAGAGGAGTTTCAATTAAGTCAATTACGTCAATTGTCTGATTTGCCTTGTTTGCATTGCATCATGGACCAAGGCAAAGTTGGCTGCGCAGCTGCTGCCTTTGTCACTTCCCAAGCTGGCCTCCAAATCCACTTCACCTTCGACAAGATTCACCGCCTGTTGAGAGACCTGAAAAACCCAATCAAAGCAGCTGGCTTGGAATCTTGTGTTTTGGCAACAACGTATCTGTTCAGCGTCAACACCAAGCCTTTTGGAAGTGGCCAATGGTTTACGGAAAAAACTCAGATCTTGGAAGCATTCTTTGAATCCAACAGCTTTGATCCTGGGTCATTTGCTTGGATCTCACTTTTTTGCTGAAGTTGGTTGTTGATTTTGTTTGTTTGCGAATGTAGGCTACTGGAACAAATCATATTTGAAATCAAGTTTTGAAGCAGCTCAGGACTGCCAATGGTTTCAGGCATTGAAAGAGAGAATTGCCAATGATTTTGGTATGGAAGGGTGCTCCGACAGGGAGATCTGGGACTCCATTCCCGAGCAATTGGAATCGTGGAGGCTCAAGGGCGGACTTGCCAAGGCAAGCAGATGGTTTTCCTGGAACGAAGGAGCTGCTGTCCATTTGAAAGAATGGCATAGCTCCCTCATGCTCCTCTCGTGGTACTTCCCAACAGATCTTGACACTGATGGTCAGTCTGGTTTGTTAGGCCTCAAAGGCTGTTTGACACAGATGTATTGGGAAGATGCCCACATCATCTTCAGAGTTCAATATGGAATGTGGTCGTGGTACTCGCAGCAGATCCATGATGTCAAAAGCCCAGAGCATGCAATCATTGAATCTTTGGAAATGGTCGAGTCATGGATGAGTCATCAGTCTCTCCAGACCCTTGCTGAATCGTGGAGCGCTCAAACTTGGGCCGATGTTGAGCGGTTTGTGCCTGACCAGGAGGCCTTCATTGCCAGAGTGAATACCTATGCTCTTGGATGCTTGATGAATCGTTGCGCAACGCTTTCCAAGTTCTCAGCTCCACCTGAGACATGGGTTGGGCTTCTAGATCCCCAGCAAGCACAGGTGACAAGAATGCGGCTCTTGAAGGAGTATCGTTGGTTTCAATCCTTGCGGTGCAGCATGGCTCCTTTTGCAGCAGAGCTTGCCAGTGACATTGAGACGGTCTTCGATTTGCCTTGTCGTCATTTGTGTCATTTGTGTCATTTTGACTTTGGAGCAGCGCAAGAGCTGGCCAAGCTGCTGATTGGTGGCTTTGCGGATTCAAAAGTGGTGGAGGACATTCACCAAGCATGCAGGGTGGCCACGAACCCAGGCAGCAACAAGAAGCTCTCTGGAGCTACGTTGCAGCTTGTTTGCCAATTCTCTGAGGTTTTGGACAAGAGAGGGATCGTCCATCCAGCTGCCCTAACCCGTGAAGAATTCTTGGACAAGCGGCCTGATGCCAGAGATGATTTCAACTGCCGCCAGGAATTCAAATCATCCAGCCATAGTCTACCAGCTCGCTACTCAGAGATTCTGACGAAGAAGATGTGGCGCACTGTCAGTGAGGATTGGCTTCGAACCTCATACGGGGCATGGCAATGGATGATTCAATACTGCGGGCAAAGGCTTGCTGACCAAGGTGTTCGCCTGGAGGCCAGGGAAGTGACGAAAATGACCAAAATGATGTGTAGCAAATGTTTTTGTGTCAGTTGAATTACCCGTCAGGATGGTCTTCTGAACCGCCTTGCTTTTCAAGGGCAAGTGATTGAAGTCAATTTTGTCTATCTACTCATTTTGGGCAATTTGAAGTGGCAAGCCCTTGCTTGGCCGTTGAAGCTTGTGGACGCTGCTGATGATGATTATCGCATGATGCGATGGGTTTTGGATTCGTCGTCAAGTTGTCAATGGCTGCAATGCTCTCTGAACATGCCAGCTTTTCAAACAAAGCTAGTCTGGAGCAATGAGTTTGGCATCCACTGGCAACAGGTTGGGCCTCCTGAAACATTTGCGCGGAATTGCTTGCGGCGCTCCAATGGCCTGACATTCACAGATCTTTGCTTGATGGGGAGGCATCTTTTTGGCTCCGAAATCAAAGAGAAGTCTAGGAAGGACATCCTTTTGAAGCTGGCGTTGCATTTCGGAGATGACTTTGCAGAGCTGGTCTTGGAGTGCGACTCTAAGACGACAAAGAAGTCATCATCTGATCCAGATCAAGCAGCTTTGGTAAAAGCTGTGTTTGACCACTTGGACGCGGATGAGCAGAAGGAGTTTCGCTCTGTCAAGGAGAATGT